ACATTGTAATTTTAAGTTAAAAAAATGATGCCAAATTATTGAGAATTTATCTGAAACAACAGGGTAAACAGTGGATGATGGTTCGTAATGATGCTTATCTTTGTTGATTATTTTGTTTTATATCTAAATATAGAATTAAAATATTTTCGACTTTAAATCATTGAAAATGGCCCCTATTTTAATTAATACGAGAATATTAATTTGAAAATTGTACTTACACATATTTATTTAAAAATGGACTTGCTCTAGAAATTTTTTAATTTATTTACTTGCAACACTGAAAAAATTATGGTTTTTCATTAACAAAAAGTGTGTGAAAATTTAGTTAAATAATGTGACTACAACTGTGTAAATTTTGACCTTTTTTGTCTCTCAATATCTATCTATATAATCTAAGATATATTTCTATTCAATATAAGCATTTTACCTATTAAAAACCGAATTATAAATTGAATAACCGGTTGACTCATCAACAAGAATTAAAATTCAAATGAGTAGTAAATATTGTAATACTGTTTTGATAAATAAACAAATCTTGAGACGAATTCATTGATTGACCGAATTATTCTGCATTTTGCGTGTTAATCAAACTACATAGACGAGAGGCCTTTGCTCAGTAGTATGACGTTACTTATATAAAAAAAAAAAACATTTCTCGGCTTCCCGCTATATTAATATAAATAAAAGAATCTTGAGTCGAACTAATTGATTGACCGAATTATCTGTGTTTGAAACTATATGGAAGTACAGAGGAGGTTTTTGCTCAGTAGTGGAACGTTACTTAATAAACAAACTGATATAAATAAACGAATTTTGAGTCGAACTCATTTTTTAACCCAATGATTTCTGCGTGTTAATCGAATTATATGGAAGAATGGAAGAGAGGTCTTTGCTTAGTAGTGAGATGTTACCATAGACTTAGTACGACGTACTACGAATGTTATTTATATTTAAAAAAAAATACTATCTCGGTTTCTAGCTATAATAATAAAAGTTAAGTATTAGTCTGTGAATTTAATTGAACTCTTTTAGATAGAACACCTTTGCAAAGAATATAATAACGACTAATTTTTGTCCCAAAAACATCTCAGTTTCTTTGAGAAAATTGAAAATTAATTCTCAACCAATTTAACAGCTCATTACCTACTCAATGACAAAAGAATAATTAAACACTCGCTGTAGTACAATTAGCATAATCTTACATGCAATTTTCAGAACTTGTCCAGTGAGTTATTATTGAGGTGACGGCCTTCAAGTGGCTTCTGAAACGACATACAAACTGGGTATAAACTTTACATGTAATGAGTCATATAACGTGTCTTACCTGCTGACAATTATACGGTATGTAAATAGTAAAACGGCGAGATATCTTCACGTATCTTTCATTTACATTTAAATGATTGCATAAACATACCTATTTATATTCACTTTTTACGCATTTAAAAGCATATGTACTTAGGTAGATAACATAGTTATTTGCGCAAATTAAAGTAAATATTTTTCAGAACCATCATACAAATAAGGCACTTCCTAACTATGTTATACTAAATCTATGCTTCGTAATGATTAGCCTAGAGATATGCGAACTCGCAGGGGGTATGTGATGTTTCGAGAAGAAGTAAGCAATTTTTTGGATGATAATTATCGGTATAAGCTGGCGGGGTACCAGTAAAGGACAATAGATGAGGATGAAGTCGTGTCATGAAGATGAAAGCAAGTCAGTTGGCCCATCATGAGGTATTCACCATAAACTAACCACAGTATTTTCCGTGCTCGAGACCGAGCTAACAAGGTAAATTGCAAATGCAAAAAATTACAGTAATGGAGATTGAAATTCCCATTATTAACAATATCTACACTCCATTACGCTTAGGCTTAACAAACATAGGCTTAAATTCAAGCAAAAGTAAGAAAAAGATTTTTTTTTTATATTAATTGTTATTTTTCTCTATTCTATAATTTCACTGCCATATCTTACTCTATAATTTCACGCCAGTCGTCTGCTTGGGTACCGCCAACCATGGGTATCCAAGTGGACGATTTTTGTATAAAAGTTCACTCTAATAAATTAGAGTACAACTAGATAAAACGAAAGGAAAAGTGTATGCCATAATGGTAATGATGGTAATGATAGGGTATCATAGGCTTCTTAGGATAGTCATAGACTATCCTATATATTTATAGTGCTGTACATGAAAAGAGTGAACGAGAAAAGAACATTAATTAAAATAATAGAGAATAAAACAGGCAAAATGCTGGGTCACCTTATACGACATGACGATTTTTTTAAGAGCATAGTATAGGGAAAAATAGAGGGCAAAAGAGGAAGAGGAAGACCGAGGAATAAGTACATGGGACAGATAAAAGAAACACTAGGTGTCATGTCGTATAGGTATGTCAAGCATGTGGCCTGAGATAGAACTGGCTGGAGGAAGATGCATGAATTAGTTGCACCGACAAGAGGAAACTCTTAAATGAAAACAAGACATGTTTGTATTTTTTTAATGGGTGAAAATGGAATAGTGACCCCGCCCGCGCTATCGGTATACACCGACGGGGCACCAGTGGAAGATGATAAGTGAGAATGAATGCAGGTTAATTGGCCCACCTTGATGAATTCGAACAAAACATATTGATTTCCAGAAGGAACCGCGTGGAGGTCGACTTGAGAGAAAATTGCTAGTAATAAGTCTATTAGATCTTAATATGGACAATCGCTTTCCACATGATTGTATTACCATTCAACAGCTGAGCCACGAGTTTGCTATATTAAATGTTATACAATATACCTATATAACCTTCAAAAAGAAACTTTAATTATATAATATGCGGCCCTAAGAAATAAACATTATTTATAATGATACTTACTTATTACAAAAAATATGAAGCCGTTATGTTCGCTGCTAGGTACCTACCTGTCTAATCGAAACAACTGTTTCGAAATGATAGGGCTTGCTTAAAATTAAGGCTATGTTCAAATTAATGAAAGATAATAAGCTTTTCGGCCGCACTCAATAAGCTGACGTGTTATTAATCGAGCAATTCCGAATTCTTATCCTATGAATTGATTTTTGGTGGAATAACATTAAGTACTGACATCTGAGAGACTTATTCACTTTGTTAACTTTTATTGTAGTATTTTTCACGCTTTTTAATAAAATACTTTGCAATAAAAGGACCGATAACAAATTTATCTTAAAATAATTCAATTTATCCATTTAATACACGAATAACTAAAAATAACCTTATTCTCTATAAAAAGCATCATAGAACAGTTTCGAATATACTTAGAACATCAAGTTGCAGAATTTATATGAGCATACTGACATACTAAGACAGGTGGCGGAAATTTACGCTTCCTAACAACAATGGGAGCGGATCTCACGCGAACTGCTAATAATATTGTTTAGCGTGAACCCAGAAAGGTCTAGTTCAAGAATGCCGCGACAAGAGATGGCGAAGAGAAAATGTTATTACTTAATTATCTGTTGCATGATGTGAAATCAGAAGACAAGAAATACACAGCCGATATTCAATGCAGAATGTATGTGAATGCTGAGTATAGGTCAGAATAGCAACATGGGGTAGGTACTTAGCAAAATAAACTAATAAAATAATAAATAGAGATAAATATACTTTTTACACATATGTGTAATATGTATACATAGCGATTACATGTTGTTTTGAAACTGATGTATGCAAGCGGGAGATGGCAATATAAAAAAATGAAAGTAGTTTATTTGAAAGATAGAATCGGTAAAAAAAGAAAGGGTATGCTGTTGACCCTCTGTTAGTATATTATTATATGTACTATATGTAACTTATAAGTGTATTTTGTTTTATAATAAATGTGTAAATGTAAATGGATTGTGTCACATAAATATTTGAAGATAGATAAATGATAGAAGTCTTTATGAAATTATGAATCACTTATTTGATATTATTTCTAGCCCCCAAAATTTATTAAAAAAGAAATTAGAATAACTCAATTTGACAGCTCGTTTTCACATTAAAATTAAGTGACACAGTTTAATTGGCATTTAACACGTTCATAACTCAATTTTATTATACAAATGCTCAGTGACACAGCCATTTGTTTTGCGTAATCCCAACAATGAGATGGCGCGATTGGCGGTGTCGCGGCCGCGTCCGGTCGGCCACTGACGCAATGTGTGCCAGCCTTTATTTACATCCGATTTGGTCGTTTCTGTCAAATAGGATTAAACTCAATGTCGAAAACATATTAAAACGTGATACATTTAATTTAATAAACTGCAAGGCCATATTTTGTTGCTGTCAATAACGTTGCGTTGTAAAGAACGTTAATGACCAATAGAAGAGAATGGTATTTTCAAATATAACGAGCAATAGTTACACATAGTACCTATATGGTATTATAAAAAAAAAACAAATTAAACATGCTATCATTAAGTATTTTTAAATTTCGAATTGATATTACAACCCTTTTGTTCGCCTTATTTGTCCGTATGGTATCGGCATAAAAAGAGCCACCCCTTTCTCGTGGGTGTCGTAAAAGGCGACTAAGGGAACCTTATGGTCGAGAGATGGGCAGCAGCGACTCTTTTAAAACATTACTAACGCTTAATTACGATTACCAACTCGCCTGCCAAGCATGGCAACTACTAATAAAATCTTACATTATGGGAGCTTTTTTAAACGGATGATAATGGAATGATGATCCCGCCTGTGCTAACGGTATACGTTGGCGGGACCCAGTGAGGGATGATAGGTGAGAATAAAAAGGCAGGTCACTTAGCCCATCATGACGAATTCACTTGGAATTAAACACGAAACCAGGGAGAAACGCGAGGAAGTCGACCTGACAAGGTGTGTTGCTAGCAATGGGGATACTAATCCTCATTATTACCAATACATTCTCCCCCCACTTTATGGGAGAAGCCCATATTCGTTAATTATGCCATTATTATTATAACCTTTTTATGTATCAGAGGAATAATGTAATTTTCTTCTTGTTTCAGGCTATTATGAGGCAACAATACTGATCCATGATGTGCAAATTAAAGAAGACGTATCACTTCCTGATTGTACTTGGATGACACAGGTATTATAAAGTTATGCTGTAAAAAACATACAGTTGTCCATGATCGCCGGGTATGCATAAAATGAATGATGCATGTGCGGGATAAAGTATGAGAGGCTATATTACATGTAAGGATAAACATCTTGGTTTCCTGAATTCCGTATAGAACCTGCCATGAAGAACATTTCGTCATTGTCGTAGAATACTGACGGATCAGACAAAGATTACATATAAAGATCCGTCAGTATTCTACGACTATGACGATTTTATTTCTCCATAAAAAAAAAAACAATGGTAGCTTCAATCGTCACAGAATTAATATTATCACATAACTCCTAACACAGAAGTAAACTCTACGAATTACAAAAATAATTGGAAACGTCCTTCTTTTGAAAGTCGTGTTGAGCTGGTTTACTCATTGTTCAGATACACATTGATTCTTTATTTACTAAAGAATTTTACATCTTTTTATATTATATATTGAACAATTGAACAATCAAACATGTAGTCAGGCCAAAGTTATATTGACTTTTAGACATTCGCGTTGCATGGTTTATAGCCATATATTATAATGTTGCCAGGATATAGGTGTGGTCCTGGTATAGAATAGGCTACCTCTTTCTTTCCCGTGGTTGTCGTAAGAGGCGTCTAAGGGAGGGCGAGGGATGGGCAGCAGCGTTCCTCTTAAAATATCTCTAAAGCCTGACTACGGTTGCCAATCCGCCTGCCAATCGTGGCAACTACTGGCAAAATCCCCCAAGGGCTTATGATGATGATGATGGTGGAAAGTTGTAGAATTACTGGTAACAAGAATAGTAGTCAATCTTCGTGCATACTAATGGTAGTAGAATTAAACAAAATAATTCTAATCGACTAACTGGTGATATAGACTTCCGCAAAATAACATGTAGTTCAGTAAAATATTTAAATAAACCATGATAGTGTTTTTACTTGTAGTATTTTTTAAAAGAAAAGAAGTTATTTTAATTACATTTTATAATTTGTAACTTTAGTTATAAATTTGTGAAAAAAAAAGAAAAAATCTAGTAAGTATTCGGCATCCAGGACAATAAAGTATTTTTTTTATACAACTTAGAATGGCAAACAAGCTGACGGCCCACCTGAGGGAAAGTGGTAACCGTCGCCTATAGACATGAGCAATACCATGGACATAACAGAGTATACTGTTTCGCTCATGATACATTGCCATTCCTGAGGACTCAGGTATTATTCCTCTGTACCCTGTAAATTCACTCCATATCTCACTCTTCAAACCGAAACACAGCTATGCAAACACAGCTGCTTCACGGTGAAAACACGAATGGGACAGAGGTACCCTAAAATTCCAGAACATTCCCGGATTTCTCAGCTATCTGGCAAGCCTAGGCCAGCCTGATAGCAAACGGCCACCACATCTCATGAATGCTTGCAACACTAAAATTATCAAACGCACGTTATTAATCCTTATCACACGAAGATCTTAGATGTAATTCATAGACATTTTTGTTTCCCAATTCATTGCTAAAACAGTAATAAACTAAGTCCACGTTTCTGTCGTGGAACAGATGTTGCGAGGTTGTATTTCGGTTTGAAGGAAGGGATAACAGAAATTACAGAGTGCGGAGGCATACCACCTTAGTCATCAGGAATGAAAATGCATACCAGGTAGCAAAGTGACATCTACGACTCAAATAAGACGTCAGTATTAAATCATTTTGGGGTCAATGACTGAAAATCGACGTCAATACGACGATTAATTGCCACCTGGTATAAGGGATACCATAAATGTCATAGTGTACTCAATTATGTTCATGGTGTTGTTCATGTTTATAGGTTTTTTTATATAACACAGAGGGCAAACGAGCATGCGGCTCACCTGATGGTAAATGACCACTGCCACCCATGATCAACCGCAATACTAGAGGCAACGCAAGTGTGCTGCCAGCCTTTTAAAAAGGAATGTCTATAGGTGAAGACTACCACTACAGCTTTCGTTAAGTGAACAACTTGTTTGCTATTCTATATACTATTACTTTAAAAATCTACAATTATAAAACAATGCAAATCACTCTAAACTAATCCATGGTTCCAGGTGGTTGGGAGCTCACAATGTCGCAGTCAGCGCTCGGCCTCGGCGGGGAGCGCCGGTACTCCGTGCCTTCAAACCCGCTGATGCACGATCCTCGCGGCATGCACTCTGAGGACCTACACGCATGGTCTATATACAGGTGCATAATTAAATTATCTATTCGAGTGTTATGAACTAGTTATTAGCTTAAAAGCAGTGGCAAATTTTATGTTGGAAAGTCAGTGGTGTTTTATTTTTTTATCCTAATATTTAAACATTCATGTGCTTATTGTGATTTTTGTGTTTATTATTTAATTAATCGTTATTTGAGTAAATATATAACGGAAGATATAAAATTCATATCGGCTGCAATCAAGTTCATAGGTCAGTAATATTTATTCATAAGGTATCTGCGAGTATTATAAATTATAATAAATGATCTGTCTGTTGGTATGAATTAGATACGGGTAATATCCGATAACTATATATTGAGTTCTTCAGGACACTGATGACTACCCATGACGATATCTCCCATACCAGTCGGATATCTATATTCATTACGAGCGAGTTCTTATTTTCGATATTATATATTGAATAATGAATATCTAATATATAAGTTCTTGGGCCAATATATGTATAGATATTGTATTGCTATACATTACCCAGCCTAGTATGAATTGCTGTTGACATTGTAAATAATTAGATAAACCTAAGTTACTGGTACATTTCATTCATTTTGCGACTTTTTATAGAAAATATTGATTATTTTAAAGAAAACTGTAAGTTGCATATAGATATACGAATAATTTTATAATTCTAATATGTATTATGTAAACACATATGTGTACAAAATATACTAGATAAAAAATATTTGTGGGTACAATTTAAAACACCCAGTTATAAAAATGAAAACGTTCCTTTTCTAAATTGCCGCGAGAATAGCACATAAGGTCTCATTTATACAAAGCAATGTGCTTACTATTGCAATAAACAACAATGTACTTATACGAAGTAACACAAATAAAAGTAAAGAACAATAAAATAACATAGCTGTAGTTTTACACAGCAAGTTTAGTAGGTAATAATTATTACTTTGTCATGTTATGTTCAAAGTAACATACTAATTATTTTGTGCATCGAACAGGCAAAACCTAAATTCGGACTTCACGGACAGCGCCCTCGGGAGCACCGACAAGAGCCCGCTACCGTATGGCAACTTTCAGCTTCGGGATACCACCGTGCAGTCTATACTGTCGCACCCTCGATATGGACCCAAGTAATACAATACTAAATATCTTTATTCAAATAAACTTGTTTACAAATTGTTTAAAGCATATTTATAAGTATACAATTTATTTAATATTTTCAAGTGGCAACAAGTCTACATTATGAAGTATTATCTATTGCATGTATATTATTGAACAGAAATACACAATTATCGAATAAACAGCTTAAGCATGCGTTCTTAAGCATGCAATCCGCATTTTTCGATAAAGTATAATAACAACAAGCATTTTCCATTGTTCCTTTAAACTGCTTTCGAAATACATATGTATGTTAATTTTTACATTTTTATATTATCATAGATCCGCCCTTGGTTCGAATATGTACACCTACCTGAAGTTTGGTCTGCCGCGAGTGTTCCCACCGAACCATAACGGCTCGCAGAGATCCGGTACGCCCAAACCGAAAACGTCCATCGGTAGTGGAATGAAACCAACGCCAAGGTACTGTTTTATATATACAAAAGGTTAATGCAATATATGCACACTTTCAAATAATTATAAAGGAATTTCATACATGGGTATATTATATAAATTTGTCCTACACGCTTGTCGTTTGTAATAAAGTTCATGAAAAATCCAAGTTTCATAAAATAGTAAGTTTAATTTTAGATAGAATTACGAGTTGTACTTTTATCGCACAATATTATCAGACCAAATAGTCAGTAATGAACATAATAAACAAATTAAGTAGTAAGGAAGATTTTGTACAAAGTCATCTGCGCGATGCGTCTGTCTAGCTCAACAAGTAAGACAGGGGGGAAAGGGATTGTTAGTAAAGGAGACTGAGAATCCTATTGGCAGCAATTAACCCAACCAGATCGACCTCTTCGCGGTTTTCCCTGGAAACTATCATGGTTAATTCCTGATAAATTCATCATGATGGGCTAACTGGCCTGTTTTCATTCTCATCTACCACCCTTCACTGGTGCTCCGCCAGCGTATCCCGTTAGTGCAGGCGGGGTTACCATACCATTTTCACCCATAAAAAAAAAAAACAAGTAAGACAGACACAATGACCACAAGATTTGTTAAGTCTAGTACAAAGCAGTTTACATTCTGCTTTTTACTCGCTTGCTCACAATTGCCATTCAAGTTGTATAAAAAAACATGCTGTATCTTGGATAAAATATTGCAATGACACTGGATATTGTGAATAATTTCATATTACAAAGGTTGGTAACGCAGGAATTATGTATCTGATGTTGCAGCTGTTTTTGGGCTATAATGAGCACTTACCATCAGACTAACAGTTCTTCATTATCAACTCTCGTTGCTATATTATTCAAATAGGGGTAGGACAACGAAATAAGGTAACCAGAGGAAGATTTAGTACTAAAGTCATCTGTCTGTCTGCTGCTTTATGGTAGGAACACATGGAACAACTGTCCTTCTATGTGTTTCAGTTCGAAAAAGGGGATGTGGCTATGTAATTAAAAATTACGGAGGCGTAACACCATAATCCTCAAGAATGGCATCACATGAGAGGTACTATGGATATCACAGTGCAATCTACGCCGTCCAGGTGTTGTTGTGTTGTGTGCATGTCTATAGACGACGGTTATTATTTTCCATCAGGCATCAGATTGTTTACCATTCTAAGTGTCATATTCGTAAAAAAGGTTTTTTGTGTAGGATACACAGACAAAGTCGAGGCGTTCGCGAGACATCATCGGGCTACGACAGTTCGGACAACGAGACCACCACCAACTACAAGTACAGCCGGAAATATAGATCCGACCCGGACTTCCGGATGCAGAATTTACACCCCTCTTACCAGGTAAACATCACACGATGGAATAACAATAGGTCTTAATAGAACTTGAGAGAGGCCTATGCCTAGCTATGAATTGATGATGGCAATGAAACAATGCAAATTATCATCCTAAACTTTGATTATTGTGAGACATCGGACAATTTGTGCTCTAATTTAATTACATTATATCAAACATGCCTAACAATCATTATTATTATCCCAGTTTTTAACGCAAAAAGAAGGGTATTATAAGTTTAACGTGTCTGTGTGTCTGTCTGTAGTATCATAGGTTTTTGTTTAAAAACTGACGTAATGGTCCTTAGCTACAATTTATGAAGATCTGTTTAGTAGTTTCAAGCTCCTTTTATAGGTTTGTTTGTGTCGAGGCTTTTTTAAAAATTTTTATAAATTTATTATTCACGTGAATCTAATAAAATGTATATAACATATAAACAGAATTGCCATCGGATATTTCAACAAACTGTATAGTTTTGGTCCTTCGAGCCGGATGATGTAATCTACCTGCTTATATGTAATATTTTTTATACAGCCGGGAACTGGAGTACCTCTAGTAGCGATGCAGCAGGCCGGTATACGGGAACAGCACTGGATGAGCAGTCGAAACAAGTCTGTGAGCGAGGCGAATTTACTCGGCATCGACGCGAGACCCCAGCGTGCGCAGTACACCAACAGGCGGAACAGTGTCGCAGAGTTCGCGCTAGACGCTGACCACCATAGGTAACTTGTTTTATGAATGATAATGGAATGATGATTCTGCCTAGTTTATTTCATACTGGCAGTACTAATGAGATATAATGAACGAAGATTTAGGTTAATAGGTCTATCATTACAAATTAACTAAAAATCATGATAACTTCGAAGATCCACCTGAAAACTAACGTGGTTAACGTTAGTTATCAGGTGGACCAAGTAGATGGTCTGTATGTAAAAAAATAAATCATCGTCCTATAAACCGTTAACTGTCCACTACTGAACACAGGCCTCCCAATGGGGGGTGGGGTGGGGGGGGATTATTGCCAGTGGTTGCTTGACAAGTAGTTAGGTTTTGGTGAAGTTTTAAGAGTCTTATAGGCCATCCCTTCCTTTCCCCTGGGTGTCATAAGAGGCGACTAAGGCAAGACGAGGGATGGGACAGCAGGGGCATCTCTAAAGCCTAACCGCAGATGCCAACCCGTCAACCAAGCGTGGCAACAACTGGCAAACCCTTCCCTTCCTCCTCCATGGTTCTTCTGTCCAATGCTTATGTTCAGCAGTGGACAGTTAAAGGTCAATGACAAACGAAACAATTCATGAGTGAATATGACATTTAAATTTGAATACTTCTAATAATTATGTATAACATGTCAACATATTTGGATATAAATGTTTATCAAAATGTCAAGCGAAGGAGCTATTAGAAAATTTATACCTAATGAATAATTAACTACTTACCATAGATAAAGTGTGCAAACTTTTGTAATTATACGAAGATAAGAAACTGGGTCATTGATGCTTAGGTCATTGGTACCTTCTGGTATTCGTTGTTTGAGAAATACGACTATTAATGTAAATATTCTTTTCAACCGACTTCAAAAAGAAAGAAGAACCAGAGGGAGACTTTGTACAAAAGTCGATTTCTTGGGTACCTCTGTCCCATTCGTGTTTCAACCGTGAAGCAGTTGTGTTTGCATGGCTGTGTTTCGGTTTGAAGGGTGGGATATGGCGTAAAATTACTGGGTACAGAGGAATAACATCTGAGTCCTCAGGAATGGCAACGTATAGGGGTTATCATGGGCGAAACAGTATACTCTGTTATGTCCATGATACTGCTCATCTCTATAGGCGACGGTTACCACTTTCCATCAGGTGGGCCGTCAGCTTGTTTGCCATTCTAAGTTGTATAAAAAAAAATCAGTTGTATTTTTTATGTTTGTTACCTCATAACTTTGTCAGTTGTAAACTGATTTTGAAAATTGTTTCTTTTTTTTATCTCAAAGTACAGATTGATCCCGTTGAAATTTTATCAAAATCGGTCCAATACTTTAGTTTTTTAATGAAAATAACTGGTTTTGCTTTAATTGAAGATTGAAGACAATTTTTTTGGTCTATCTTGTTGAGTTTTGGGATGAAATTATACGATAGGTAGCATAATAGAGATGAATTCATCTAGAATTAAGCACAATTGTTTCCACGAGGGGATCGCGAGGGTTCGACGTGATAGGGACAATTTGCTAGCAATGTTGCCAGCCCCATTACTAACAATCCCCTCCCTCTTCAGATGGAACGCTGGTTTTTTTACTATTCCAACTAATATAATTTTTTTTCTGCAGCTATTTGATGCCATCATCACACCTGGGCGGGCGCATGTCGAAGGCAGGAAGTCATATGTCGGTGGCGCAGTCTCGGAAGCACTCCACTCTCCGACCTGGGGATTACTTGGATGGATACACGCATTCTGCTTATATATATCCAAATTATTATGTAAGTACTTGCAGCCTTATAGCTATAAAAATGACTATTAAAAAATGCTTCAATTTAAGCTTAATTAAGTCATCAAAATCATCAAATCAGCGGTTAACTGCTGAATATAGGCCTCCTTCATAAGAGGGGTTTTGCCAATAGTTATCATACTTGGCAAGCTGGTTGACAACCACAGTTAGGCTTTGATGATGTTTTAAGAGGGACGCTGCTGCCTATCCCTCGATCATTAAGTTCCCTTAGTCTCCTCTTACGACACCTACGGGAAAGGAAGGGGTGGTCTATTCTACGCCAGAATCACTCGAATCTTTTTTTTACCTACAGTCGATGTAATTATTTCTTTGCCATTTTTAAAGTAATTGAGTGACTAAAATGTGACTGGATTATTTTCATACATATAAATTATAATAATGACAAAAAGGAACCTACATTATTCTCTATCGCCAATACTACATATGTACCAAATTTCATGAAGATTGGTTGAGCCATTAAGGCGCCAAACTCACTTTACATTTACAAATAGAGTGTAAGCACATATACGCAAATGTTACAGAATAGTCTATAAAAACCGAGATGTTGTTTATTTAAATAGACGACGGTTGTTACTTTCCATCAGACAGCAAATAGCAGGCAGCAAAAATGAATAGACATGTAAAATAATAAAAAAAGAAATTAACATCAGTGACACGGGCATTCTCTAGTAGAATGCGTGACTGCTACCCACTTACATATACATATATGTATCCAAAATAAAAAAGACATTTAGTATTTCAGTTCTAGTAACAGTACCTCTGTTGACCGTCGCCTTATTGTGTTAATTTCATTGTATAATTTCAGGTAAACAGTTTAGAAATCACGTCACCGGAAAATAAATCGACGCTTCTAGTTTCGGGGCTTAGTTTCGAAGTGAAGTCTGGCGAGATCCTGGCTGTGCTTGCTACGTCCCAACACGAAGCCACGGGTCTTTTGGATGTGTTAGCTGGCGTTAGGAAGGTAAAGACATCCAACTATAAACAAGAGAAACTATAAACTCAAAGAAGTCATCAGTACAGGCAGGTACCCGAGGGAATAGAGATCATTTCCATTTGGAGAACTCTGCAACTAGAAATACTGTTTCGGTTTATAAAGGTAAGATATGGCAGTGAAATTATAGGGTACCGAAACATAGCATATATAGTCCTCAAGAAGAGCAATGCTTGAATGGTCCTATAGGTATCAATATATTCAGTTTAGTTCATAGGCGACAATTACCACTTTACCAGCTTATTTGATATTCTAAATCGAATAAAAACTTTCTATCTAATGAAAATGGAATGATAACGTTGCCTGTGCTCTTGGTATTACCGAATATACGCTGACGAGATGCCAATTAGGATGAAATCAGATCATTTGGCTTATCAAGACGAATTTACCTAAAGTTAATTGCATAATTTTCAGGATATTGCCAGCAATGATATAGTTAATTTCTGTTACTGACAATCCCCTCCCCTCTTATATCACTAGGGTCTTATTAATAATGCCAGTAAATATTTTCGATCAGAAATTATCAGGCGACATAGTGCTGAATGGGCAGCCGGTTGCCTCGTCGACCCTTCGTAAAGTTGCGGCGTACGTTCGCAAGGATACGTCGCTGTGTCCCTCGATGACGGTCGAGCACACACTGCGGTTTCACGCTGCGTTGCGGAGGCCTAGGAATAACCATAATCAAGTCAAAATGTCTGATAGAGATAGAGTAAGTATACTTTAATTTGATTTTATAGTATAGATGTGAAAAACCAACATTAAAATATCTAACATAATAAATATAAGTGATTAAATTCTAACTATTTCTGTACCTTAATATTATAAAAAATTATGGTATTAAATTTAATAATAATGTATTTTTTAACATTCAATTTTTAGTAAATAATATTTTTTGTCTGTTTCAGATAAATCTTCTAATAGAAGAATTAGGTCTCGAGCAAGTGCGGGATACAAACGTAGCTCGTCTCACTCGCTCAGAAATACGTCGGTTGAATGTCGCCTGTCAGCTACTATTAGATATGGCAATACTTATCCTGGATCAGCCGACGAAGGAAATGGACATTTTTGATACGTTCTTTTTAGTGGAATATTTAAAAAACTGGGCTAGTACAGGACGGGTGGTCATAATGTCTTTGCATCCTCCTACTTATGAAATTTTCGCGATGTTAACAAAGGTAAAATTTAATAAACTTGTTTCATTGTCCGGCTCGAAGGACCAGTTATTTTTTCGTTAAAAAGCTTTAATTCTCTCTTCCATCTATATACAATTAGAATAATTTGTTGTTTTAGGTGGTACTAATATCCGCCGGTAGAACTATGTTTAGTGGATATAGAAGAGACATGTTGCCATATTTCACGTCCATCGATTACCCCTGTCCCGCTTTTAAAAACCCATCCGATTATTATTGTAAGTATTCTACTCTATTTTTAATATTATATTAAAATAAAATTAATGAGTATAAATAAAAGGCAGTTGAAGTTGAGTTTAAAATAAAAGACATAATAACGAACATGCTGTCTTTTGCCCTTTAAATAATAATTATAAGCACTCCTCGTATTGGAACTAATCATGATTGAAGTTAGTCATTTCCATCTAGCGAACTGTTAGACCGTTTACCTCTCTAAAAATAAGTATAAAAATATATTTATCTCGTCGTGTAATTTCGTCGACAACCTTCGTAGCGCAATGGTAGGCACTTTGCTTAAATGATGTCCCGGAATCGATTTCTGGTCGGGTCAAATAAGTACATAAAATTTCTCTCTTTTCTGAATTAGCAACGGTTTGGGTGTCCTGAATTTTGCCCAGATTGCCTCTAACATAGTTCCTCATAATATGGTATCTCCTAGCTTAACGACTGTATGACTGGTGTGATTATATGACACTTATTTTCGTTTTCAGTGGATCTGGTGACACTAGATGACCTGTCGGCGGCGGCCATGCTAGAATCGTCTGGCCGCATCGAGGCGCTTGCGGGCGTGTTCGCGAGTGCGCAGGCGCCGCCCGACCCGCCTCCACCGGTACCGCTACCCGCGCCTGCAGCACCACCGCACGCACTGATGCAAGCATTTGCCTTACTGGAGTAAGAATACCTAAATTTAATACCTACCTGCTATGAATATTTAAAAATAGAAATAATATTGAATCAATAATACTGTTCAAAATGAACCTTTTTACATACATACATTGATAGATCTAGTTTTTTATAAAAAAAAATTAATAAACAAATGAATTTAGAACAAAATATATATGTATTACATCAAGTCAATAGACGGCATTTTTACTTACAATTATAACAACAAGAACCAGCATATTTTATAAACAAATAGGAAACACCGTTCAGACATCTTTACACTTAGTTTCTCAGTAGCGAAGCGTAAATGACTCCCAGAATTAGAGAAAAAGTGTTCCCTTATAAAAAAAGTATACCTGCCTAGACGTCTACGTAGCACCTTGGAAACCGTTGTGATTAATTTCCCCAAAGCCTCTCGTGGTAAATTTTTGGGAAATTCGCCACGAGCGGCTTTAGCCCAGGATGAAGTCAGAATACAACTGACTTGATCCACTAGTGGCCCACAATTGTATGTCACGTTAGCATAGGCGAGTGCACCATTCCACCTTTATTCATTTAAAAAACAGACTTCCACAGGGTCGCATCCAGAAAGCAATTAATTCCTAGTGAATTTGACATAATGGGCCGACTGACTTGAATTTTTCCTCACCTACCATCACATACTGGTGAACACTGCCTACAGTATAATGATACTGCAGGTAGGGTTACTATTCAATGTGTACTCGACTTAAAAAACTCCTTAAACTCTGCTGCCTTTCTGCTAACCTAGTCTTTGTTATATATATAATTAGGTATTACTTAAAATAACAAACAAGTTGACTATCCATCATGCAAAGTAGTTAATATTGTCATGTAAACAGGAATAATTAAATGGATTATTTATTGTTAAAAATCCAAATATCTTTACAATTTTTTTATATTAGATATAGGGATAATAATTACCACTGTCGCCTTTTGTCCAGTACCATGCAGTCTTTAAACATCTATACATAATATTACTCACGTATGGATGTCTTCATTTGCAGAAAGAGTCTGGTGTTTACCCAGATGTCCACGTTGTCCAACGTGGTGACTCGTGTGCTCATCGCTGCCATCATGTCTCTGGTTACCGGAACTATTTTCTGGGATTTGCCAGCCACAGATTCAAAGGTATTTTTTTTTTCTATTAGATATAAGATTCTTTATCTATAAAGTCTTCACATGAACTATATAGTCTAAAGCATAAAAATCTATTACAGTACAGTATGAGCCAAAAGTAAAATATTTCTTTTTCTCTATTTTTGTAAATGATAAAGGCGAAAGGACTAAATCTTTTTACTTACTAAAAGATACTTAATCGTATCTTTCATTAACTAATGCTTCATTTCTTTTATCAGATCCGAATTGTTATGGAACTCACTATGTATTTAACAAAAATATTATTTTCTGCAGTTAACGCAAAACGACAGAGTGGGTTACCATTACGCAGTGATGTGTCTGACTGTATGGCCAATACTGTTGTGGCTGAGCGCGAGGGAGGCCAGTTCAATGAGGCACCACGTCGAAAGGGACATCGCAGTCGGCCTGTACTCGAGAACTATATTCATATTGTTTGATGTAAGTATTTGTAATATCCATACGCTAACTACTTCATACACCGGACACAGCAATTATGCACGTCCGCACTCATCCAAGGCTCTATATAAAGTGCTAAAGATAAATGTTTGATTTATGTGTAGATACCCCCACAAATATTACAGTATGATGTTTTTGTACTAATGAATAGAATATAGCTTAATATATCATTATACTTATTTATTAAATGTGCATGATCCCGTTTCTATTTAATCAGTGAATTAAAGTCCAAAACACCACAGAAGTAAGGTTCTATTTTTTTATACCACAGCCATGGTAAACGGCCATCAAATCTGCTTATCAATTTTAGAAACGTAACTTTACGATGATACTATCATACGTCTTGCTGCCAAGTTTATTACTGATATAATCTATTTATTATATATAGTATATAAACTGTATAATATGTAGTTCAGTTTACTCATGTCATATCATTAATAACAAAATATATTTTTAGCAATTCCTCGAGCTGTGGTCGGCTGTTCTCACATGGCTGGCATTTATCGTTCCCAGCTACGCAATGACCGGATTGTACGCGCAAACTCCGGGATCTTTCGATGGATTCTATATACATATAGGTAAACAATTGCTTCATAGTCAACGCTATTTCATTGTTTTGCCGAAATCTTTTCAATAAAGCTCATTTACAGACAGATACAACTAGTATGAGTTTTTTGTTTAGTAGATAACGAGCGCAGATTTTAATGTAAGTCTAAATCTAAATAAATGAATATAGCAATGGTAGTTGTTGGCAACACTTATCATTTAGTCGACAAGGCTACCCACATAATACAAATTAACCGTCGTCACTACGTAAGCAATCAGTTATCTTGCCTAATCGAATGCGTACCGCGTTCGTTCGATCTAGTACGGAATAGTAACTAGGGCTGCAAGGATATATTGTTTAAAAACATTAGAAGTATCTACTCTAGCGAGTTCCTCGTTCCAGGACCTGTTATGAACTTGGCGCCCAACGTGGGGTAAAATATCAGGTTCCGGCACGAAGACTAGAATGATTAGTACTACCCTTGATATTACGACATGGTTTATTTCGTTTCTTTACATTTCTTTAATTCTTTTCCATTATGTATTACATCTTTATGTGTTTATCTTTTATATAATCTGACTTGCCTCTTTCACAGGATTCATGTTGCTTTATTTAATAAGCATACAAATGCTATGCCGCGCGGCAATATTCCTTGTGCCAATGGAGAAGACAGCCGCAGCGATAGCGGGCTTCTGTCTCCTGCTTAGTACGCTAGTGAATGGCGTGATGCTGCATCAGGCTGACCTGCCGCAGTATGTGCGGTGGTTGGAGTACGTGTCACCATCCAGGTGGACGATGCCCGAAGTATTGCAGAGAGAACTCAGCGAGATGGCGTTGAGGAGCAGTATTAGTAAAGATATTAGGTGTACTAATAAACAGGTAATTTTCAGCTTTCCTGACCTTTACTTGTATATCTACAAGAAAGTCTACCAAAATATTTAACTTTCTGAACATATAAACACCATTTAAAAGACTAAATGAATTTGACTCATTATGATTGATAGATGATAATATAGAAAAAGCATGAGTATCTCTGGTAGTGGTTTTATGACAGTTTTAGCCACTTATGTTGGGAAACAACGATAAATTGCAGAATTAACAAATATTATTGTTTAATTCCTTAAAGTAACAATTCATGAAGTACTGGACTATAATCTACAATATTCATGTCTATAGCCGATGGTTACCGCTCTATATTTGCAAATTATTTGAACTACATTTGGTATACTAACTTCTTCGGTTTGCTTACCATTCCCAGTTGAATTCATAGCAGCAAGTCTTCAAAATGAAACGAACAGTGATTATCGAGTGTTCTAAGCTTATATCAATGAATTATTTTACTTATGAATATATTAATTTCCAGCGACCGTACCAGGACATCATAGTGCAGTCGCCGTGTCCACCGCCAAATGGCACGCAAGTGTTATCCAACTACGAGTACCTGCGCACCGACAACATATGGGAGACGAACGAGGAGAGTTTCCTCGTCGCCCTGGCTGTCTTCTACGCGGTCTTCGCTCTAGTCGCCATGTTTGCTTTCATATTCGACTGTACCAAGTACGTTAAGACGAAGGAACGCAAATCCGTGAAGGGGCATAAAATCAATGCAAATACACCATGATCATATATTAAGATATGAAATAGAGTACAATATACCAGGATATTAGGCTCATAGCAAGCCTGAGTACTCATCGATGCTCTTCTGAATTGTCTTTGGTCACAACCTTTATGCTGATTTAGCATATATTGTAAAGCTATGTCTACAACGACTAAATATAACAGGATACACCCTTATAGCCTCCTGATTAACTTGAGGTTTGTGAGAACTTGTGGACCTGGATTAATAAAAAAAAAGTTGCAAATTACATAATGTAATCAGAATTTCTGCCCGACCAAGTGAACGTACCAAGTAATGGTACAGGATGGAACTATGAAAGCATTTGTTTCCTATCAAATCAATTGATTGGTTAGATACCAAATTTATATATATTTTTTTATATAAAATATTGGAAACGTACTTTTTACTGAATAATGTTGGATTTTTTTTTCTGTGGATATGAAAATGAAAATTACAAAATTGTCATTATAATATTTGCTCAATTCTGAGTGGAATACATCGTCACAGTCCTAGAATACTGACGGATCTGACAAATATTATATATACAGATCCGTCAGTATTCTACGACTATGACGACATATTTAGCTAAATTACATTTAGTGCTTAATTTTGCTAGATGTTTATGTATAAAATTAATAGGGAACATTAGTAGATAGCTCATGTATTTAGCAGTGAGTTTACAAGGCTGACTAACGTCTTCCGTCCTTATTTAGTTAATGATGTTTAATAAGTTAATGTATTATATAGTATTATAAAAAATGTGCATGTTTTGTATGAGCGGATGTAGGTAGATCAATGTGATTAAAAATAACTATATAGAATATTATAGGTATGTTTGTTATAGTATCAGGTTATCATTTCCTATATATCTATTTTATTATTATTGTAATTTTTCTACTGAATTTGGAATTTTATCAGTTCCGTTGAAATTTAACAAATTTATAAATTTAACAATTTTAGTTTTTTAGCTAATTGCGGAAAAAATTGCGAAATTTAATTTGTTTCGTACATAATAATAATCCGACTTTGTTTCGTTTATTATTTGTCTTATTGTTAGAAGGACCAACAAGCTGACGATCTAATGTCTATTACTACGAATACTTTTAAATCAAAAGATATTGGCAGTGCAGTTTATTTTACAAATACCTAATACATTTTTTGTCAAGCTTCATATTGTGTTACGTAGAGAATACGTCAAAAAGAAAGTGCTTGCATAGCATCAAATTGGTTTGTTAAATTTTAGCGGAGCGAACAGAAGATTTATACAGGAATTGGTATAATTGTATTTTTTATTATTTGTTTTTTCTTGTTCTTATTTAGCCATTTCCAGGAATCAAATCTGAAAAAATACTACATAAATATAAAATTCATATTCCAATACAAAACTATGTATACGTGTAATAAAAATGTATGTCTGTCTCTTGAAAATATATACCTATACTAATTGTAGTAATTGTCGAATGGTGTCTATTATTTAGTCAATTAAAACTCCGAAATCACAATGTTATTAATAAGTTACTAATTATTTCTATTCTTCCACACATTTTTTTATTAAAATGTGGTGTCTATGAAATGCTTTCCTTCTTTATTGCTTTCTTCTTCCTATTGAGTAGTAGAAGAATAATACAAGCATTATATTTACTATATACTTATATAGATTTTATTTTTGTAAATATATAACATCAATGTTTTATATAACACTGCCTTGTGTAATGCTCATTGGAAATATTATAAATTTTCTTCTACAATTGTTCTTTAAAAAAAATTTTAATAAATCATAATAAATTATTAAATAATAAGAATAATAATAAAAGTGGAGCCATATCACTTAAATTATAGAAAATGTAATTGTTAAGTTACCCTAGTTCTCGAATATGGTATCATAATAAAAGAAAAAACAAATGAAATATTATGCAGTGGTTTTATTTCGCACAATCGTTTTCAGGCAGTTAATTGTTATAAATATTAAAAACTAAAATAACAATGATTTATAATTATAAAATAGAATTAATTTAAATTGAACACAACAACATTAACAAATACATTACATAATCTTTCAAATTGCATTGTTAATAATATATTATCTATATTAACATTTTATGACTCGTATAAATTGTTACATAATATGTTATATTCATTTATGTTTTTTTTAAAGCAGACTATTTTCCTTATTTTAAATATAAAACTGATTTTAAACAATGCATCGTAGAATTTAATATATCGTCATAGTCGTAGAATACTGACGGATCTTTATATGTAATCTTTGTCAGATCAGTCAGTATTCTACGACTATGACGACTTGTACAAATATTGTGCAATAAATAATAAACAAATAAATTTTACTATACATATATATTTTACTATATAAACAAATAAACTTAAAATTTAACATCATAGTAAAATATAAATTAAATAGTACTGTACTCTATTACCAATATACACCAACACATATTATGGGCAGATAAGTACATGTAAAATTATGAGACGGTGGGATATGATAATTCATTTCTAAATAAATATATAAAACACTACATTTTTTAGCCATTTTTTTTACAATGAACACTCAGTGTAATATCTAAAATGCTAATCCAATAATGTTAATAATAAAGTATACTTTTATTTCATATAAAAGCACCTATCAAGATGTGTAGTTAGTTAGGCTTCAGTTAAATGTAGGTAATCCTTACTAAAACTACAAATGTGAATTTATTAGCTCATAGCACCTATACAGCTCAACATGTCATTAACCCTTAAATGCCTGAAGTTTCAAATTTGATACCGGGGTTTGCATTGTTTCATTGTTAAATAAATTTAAATATTTTGATTACCGTAATGCCTAAAGTATCAAAAATGATACTAAATGTTTTTTTCAAAATAAATATTTAAAAATATCGTTTTGATTTTTTTTTTTACTATTTTTACCCATTAGTAAATACAGTAAAGGGTATACTTATATATTCTTTAATTTGATTTAAAAAATCAGGCTTTTAAGGGTTAAATTGATATAAACATACATTTTGGACGGAGAATAACACAAGACTATTTTTATTTCAATCAATATCTCCCGGTTACTCAAAGTCTAAATTACAGGCCAATGTGCAGATTCTTTCATGATGGATTTAAATAAAGCTAGTGATTACTCGCTTTTTCCATACTACAATTTTCGTTTATTGTAAACATGTAAAGAGCAGTTCTTCGTTTCTCGACTGCATTCAGAAAATTTGTGTACCTAGTTCTAAAATATATTTAGGTCTTATTCTGTGATCTCTGTTTTATTTTAAATCTTGCATGTTACTGCTAGAATTCTGCACACTAATGAGAGAGTATTTTTTTTTTATAAATTTTCGTACGTGCTACTGCATTGTCAAGTGACTGATTCTCTTATCTGGCTATATCTATTATTGGGGCATATATTTGAAAACTGTATATCTTTATTTAAAATAATTTTAAATCATCTATTTAAATTCATTGTCGTTGAAGCAAAAGCAAGTTCAGTCAATGTTTACCAGTCAATTATAGGCGTTATCTACTCGAATAGTCAGTATGAAACAGTTCATGATACCTTTTACAGATATCACACACACATGGAGTTATTTTGAACGGAACATGTTTCTTCCACCTGTCTTTCAGCTTGTCTTTGTATCTGTCAGTGTCTATGTAGTGACTTTCCACTGTCGTCTTCTGGGGCTGTTCCTCTTGGTCAGGTGTTGTGGGTTTGATATCTGCTTCGCTGCTAGACCTGAAGACAATTTAAGTGAATGAATGAAATATTTATTTTACCTCTCAAATTAATATAGTTACATGTAGTAAAACATAGTATGACAAGATGATACTTAAATAAAAAAAAAATACCTTTAACATTTAAATACTATGTATTTAAAATTATAAAACTATAAAAATAAAGATGCTAATGGATTAAGCTAAATACAATTACAATTCACGTAAGACAGGTGAGGTAGCATATTTTATCCGAATTACAGAATACGTTATAATACTGGGAGTATTATGCTATTATGTATACACAAATTTATGGCAAATAACTTGAACAAGCCATAGACAGTTTACATAGGTCAAACTATCATCAATCAATCAACTTCCAGCAACAGTCTTTCCAAACCGATACATCATAATCTTCAAAAAACGGAGCATATTCCTTTTTAAAAGGCCAGCAGCACACCTGCAATGGCTTTGGTGTTGCGAGTGATCATGGGCGGAGATAGTCATTTGCTATCAGGTGAGCTGCATGCTCGTTTGCCCCATGTATTTATAAAATAATAATAATAATAACTGCGAAAATCACTGGATATGATTGGAGCTAGTTATGCAGAAAACAGATACATTAGCTAAGATGCCCACAAGAGATATCTGTTTTTTTACAAAGTAAAAATTAACTAGCTAGCTCCAATTATTTTCAAGTTGTCTATATGTACGCTAGCTGTATAGAAGCACCTTCTTTCATCACATTCGCTGTTATCAGCACTGGTGGACGCAGTGAGCCAGCTGCTGTCTGCAGGCGTGTGCACGTTGTACACAGTGTACTGGTGGCAGCGGCGACGGGAGTTGCGTCCTCTTGGACGGGGAGCGGGGTGGGGAGGTGTGCGGGGGGAGGAACATTTGGGGGTAGGTCTAAGGGTCATATAACGAAATACGAATTTAAATATATGCAGTTTATATACGCAACTACAATCAATATATGCAACATTTCATGTCGATTTAGGAACATCAAATTTAGAAAATTGAGAAAAAACTACAGCATTGCAGATGGTATTTTCGAAAGAATTTAGTGCGCGAGTGGAACTATTAACTCTTTGTATACCGTTGTCGCCGTATTTGCGACATTAAAATGCTAACATTAAATCCATTGTCGCGACTACAGCGACACAGTTGTTTTACTGACTCAGCGTCTTTATAATAGCTAAGAAATAAATGTTTTGTTTTATTGCAACGACTCAATTTTTCTTTTACATCACGGGTATGTACTTGTAACTTATATAGTGATGGAGTTATTGGTATCCTCTATGTGTTACTAGGCTGGAGTGTAAAGGATTAAAAATAGTGTTCGTAATATAAAGTCCTTTAGTTGTAACAGAGTACGATTTATAACACTGAAACTAAGCTTACAAATTGTTGTAGTTTTTTTAATAATAAAAAATACTTTTTTGTTTCACATTTAATATGATAAAGTAAATATGAAAGAAGTGCCTAATTTCATTTACATACTTACTTTGGATAACTACATGTGACTCGAGTTTCTGGTTCTGGTGCCAAACTACAACATGACCTCGATCCGCCAGAACGCGACCTTGACCTCGTAACAGAAGGCGCTTTCTTAGTAGAACTGCATTTATTCCTGGTAATTAAACATTTATTATTTTATTTATTTAAATTTGAAACAATAAAACATTAATTTCAATCATTTCTTTTCAATCCCACCTATGATATTGAGCACTATGGCACACTTGCTTTTGCCTAGATCCTTCTGTGTCCCTCGGTCGACAATGGCAAGAACTTATTTTCAAAGACTTTATGTTGCATGGTTGATTCCAAATTTCGTCAATACGCACTTTAGTAGCTATTTCGATTTTTGGAGATAGAATACCCTAAAAATTCATAAAAATTAATTGCTTTATGTTTTTCAATTGTCGATAAAATAAATTAATGAAAAATGTGCTTACAGGAAATTCTTTCGATCTCCTCATTAGTAAGTCTACCCCGTCACTGGAACACATGTTTGGTGGGAACAGAACATCATTGACAGCACCAAGATACTGAGCTAGGATTATACATTCACCAGATTGGCAATTTTCACTCCATTGGACTAATTCACAATATATTGTCTCATCCTCTACAAATAAAAAATAAAAAATAAATTAATACATGAATTTATATTTTTAATATTAAAGTTTAATAAAATATGTTGGAATTTTAGTGTGTATATTATATATAGGGTGCAAGCGTTATTATTTACAGTAGCATCAAATAGAATGAGAAAATTAACTTGGTATACCTTTATAAATAAATGTAAAATATTTTGAAAAAGCATATGATTTTCTATTAAATCATAAAGCTAATTTATGATAAAAATAAAATCACAATGGAAAGTGGTACTAGTCACTTATAGACATAAACATGATATTATTATAATGCTATTTATAATATATATAATGAGATGATAACCGTTATGGTGAGCATACACCTGATTATCCAGTACCCTGATTAATTAACAAACTACCCACTATGATGTACAGAATAATAGAACATTTCTGGATATATGAGTGACAAGATGGACCTCATCATGCACTGTCATTTCTGAAAATTAAAACATTGTGCTTTTGTACCCTGTAATGTAGTAATGAAATTCATTACTTTTTTTTTATTCGATGTTGAGGCTTCAGAAATTGAGTACTTTGTACTAGTCTTATCAAATGAAATGAGTTTATTTGCATTAAACAGTTTAAAATTATTACAAGCCACGTGATATTATTTTGGCACCTGTTTAATTGCCTTAAGAGATGTAGGCATGCAAATATTTTACATTTTATAAAAAAAAAGTGGTAAACAAAACTATAATTCAATTATATTATTTAAATTGACATATTAAAAGTCTAGATATAGTACATTATGTCATTTATAAATATATTTAAGATTATGATTTAAGAGGACTAAAAAGCATAATGAAACTCATTATGAGTAACTTAATAAGGGTGTGTTCTTCTTACTACTACTACTTTTGTGTACTACTAATTTAAAAAAAAAGGGTTCTATTATTTGATAAACAACAACAAAGTTTTAACTTTCCATTTGGGACTGTTAAATTAATATGGAAAGTTCAATATTTATTTATCCTTTTTTTAGTTTTGTTCACAAAATTTCTATCTTGATATATTCTATAGAATGGCAAGAGACTTAGTTTTACATATGGCTAACAAATCTGAATATATTCTATTTATTAATAATAATATATTATAAATATGACTAACTGAGTAAACAGCAGATATTGTTTAAGGCACAGGTCTCTTGGAATCGCTTACGGAAGTAAAACACATCTTTGAACATTAATGGGAAAACAGGTGGCAACATACAAGTTTGGTAACTGGTTCCGAGAGCAAACACTGTAAGTGATACACGGCCATCTTGGCATAACCATACTCCTGGACATGACACCTGCAAACAAAAATAAAAAAGATAAATATCTTTTAAAATTCTATTATTGTATTTCCGATATTGGGTAACTACCCACTTTTTTTTTTCAAGGAATTAGAACTATTTGCAGATAATTTTCACTTAGCATTTCAAAATAATGTATGGTAGTCCTTGTTGAATACTCTCATCTAGCATATTGTATAAAAAAAATTCTGAAGTTGATACAAACTTACTTAAATACTATAAAAATTTCATTAATAATGAATAGATATATGTTTGGAATGATTGATATGTGTTTAAAAATAAGTAAGTTACTTACTTTTTGTATATTTATTTCGACAGTCAACTCGATAATCTTAGGCATGTCGCAATGTATGTTACATTTGGTAACTTAATCAGTTTAATAAGAAAATAATTTTATACACTTATCATTTCTATTGGCAATATTTTTTGGAAAAACCATTTTTATTATAAGATTTATTACATAAATTTAGTTTCTGACTAGATATAAATCTTTTATAATGCATTTTTTTTTTTTTTTTTTAGTACGTTTGTTCCGTTTGGAACAGGCTAAGGTCGGAGACCATGCTGCCTAGTCTTCAAAAAGATAATTTGTCTGGAATTTTATTTTTCTAATGTCGCTTCAATTATTGTCATAATCTTCAATATTTCATTTGTCAAATCCGGTAAGTACATTTTCATAAATATCTTTTCTTGAGTTTTCTTAAACCAGTGGATTTATCAAATTAAAAATAAATAATTATAAAAAATCATTGTCTTGCAATTCAATAAAAGTATTCTTATAGCTCCTTGAATGTTGTAGTAATATAAGTGAAAATAGCTTTGAAACAAGAAGGAAATCTTAAGAGAAGCGGGATTGAGTGCGGGATATTTTCGGGTTTTTTGAAGATAATCCTAAGTTCGTCAAACATAATGTGTCTTTGAATGACAAATTCAGAGCAATCAAAAAAAAGGTGATGTAGAGATTGGGCTGTATTTGAGTTACACCATGTGCATGATGGGGAAGCGATCATGCCCATTCGGTGCAGGTGTTCGTTGAAATGTCCGTGGCCGATTCGTAATCTACAAATATTGGTGTAAAATTTTCTGTTTGTGTCCTTTCCTTTGCAGAACCACGGTTTTCCAATACGCCAATTAATTTTGCGGTACCATTTGCCTTTAGTCTGTAATATTTGAGTCCAATGCTCCTCCCATTTAGTTGTAACGATTTTATGTATTCCAATACTACAATCTGAGTAACAAAGGGGTAAATCTTGAACACGAGCAGCACTTGAATTAATAATTTTAGCCAAAGTGTCTACTTGTTCATTCCCAAACACTCCAATATGTGAAGGGGTCCAGATGAAGATAATATCTTTTCCATATATAGTACAGAGATGATAATATTTATTACGAATTTCTTGAATTAAGTAGTTTGATGATGAAATGAATGTGTTATTTTTTAATGCCATAAGAACACTCATACTATCTGTAATTATAATCCATTTCGAATATAGTACCTGTTTTTCTATGTATTCTAATGCTAAAAATATAGCTTTTGCTTCTGCTGTGTAAATACTAGCCAAAGTTGAAATTTTATAACCGTGACCAAATCTATTTGACAAATCGTAAAAAGCCACTGAAGTGCTAAGTGCATTTTTGGAACCATCTGTATATATCTGCCTGTAGTCAATAAATTCTGATAAAGTCTCATACATATCGTGCTTTTCTTTTATGTCTTTACGTATAACAATTTTGATCTTACAGAACTTACTCTCATAAAGGCCATTATAACAAGGAAGTATCTTACTACTATAGATGTTATATTCATCTCGTAAATTCAAATCATTGACAATAGTTTTATTCAAAAACATAGAAATGGGGCAATTTAATAATTTGAGTATGAGTGGGTTATTGGAAACTGAAAAAACTTTGAAGAGAAATTTGAGTTTTAGGTATTCGAAACGAAGAAGGATAGGAGGCAAATTACATTCTACTTGCATTGAGATAATTGGAGAAGTATACATAGCACCTAAAATAAGTCTTAAATTCATATTTTGAATTTTTTCGAGTTTTTCTACTAATTTATGTTCTGAGGCATAACAAAAGAAAGCGTAATCAAAATTACTTCTAACAAGAGATTTGTAAAGTAAAAGGATAATTTTAGGATCAGCTCCCCAGTTACGACCAATTACAGATCTTATTATATTAGTGGCTCTTAAAGCACGATCTACTAAGCAATCAACGTATAGATCCCATTTTAAATTTTGATGAAAAATTACCCCCAGAAATTTAACGCTACAGTCTGTTGGAAGAGTTTGATTATTATATATAATATTCATTAATGGAACATATTTATGAACTTGATGAAAAACAACTACTTTACTTTTGGTTAAACTAATATCGAGGGAAAGAAGAGAAAAATATTTCTCAAGTCTTTTTAATGACTCATTTAACACTAATTGCATATCAATAATATTCTTTCCTTTTATATAAATTAATAAATCATCGGCAAATTGCAAGTTGTTCACACTGTTTCCTAAAATTGAATTAAGTTTATAGATATATAAAATATATAGTAGCGGGCTTAGAATACCACCTTGACATACTCCTTTAGAGCTTAACCTAGGTCCTATTAATTTACTATTTACTTTAACATACACTTCTCTATTACTAAGAAAATTATAAATCCATTCGATAAGTTTCATTGGAAGAAATGAGGATAAAATCGAAGATAGAACTGTTAAATTTACATTGTTAAAAGCTCCTACGACATCTAAAAAAACAGATAGAACATATTCATCGTTATTCAAAGCAGTACTAAGGTCGACATAGAAGTTCGCTAAACTTTCGCGCGCTGAATATCCACGGCGAAAACCAAATTGATTCGATGGTAATATACTATTACTTTCAATAAAGAACTCTAAACGCTGTTTAATTAATTGTTCGAATAATTTGCCTGCACAGGACGTCAATGTTATAGGTCTATAGGAGTCGAAATTTGTAGGATCTTTACCGGGTTTAATTACTGGAATCAAACAATCCATTTTCCATTCTGGTGGGATAATACAGTCCTTCCATAAATCGTTAAAAATTTGTAAGAGTTTAGTAAGGTTTATTTTATTCAGCAATCGAAACATATTGTACGAGGTTTGTCCGAAAAGTACGTATAAAAGTTTTTTAAAAATTTTATTTTACAATTATTCAGGTAAATCAATTTTATCCCCTTCAAAGTACTCCCCCTGTGACATAATGCACTTGTGCCAACGCCGTTTCCACTGTGAGAAGGCTCCTTGAAAGTCCTCTGGTTGTAGGTTTCTCAGCTGCCCCGTCGTAGCTTTTTTTATCTCATTTATGTCCCCCAAATGCCGCCCCCGAAGTACCAATTTGGTTTTTGGGAACAAGAAGAAGTCACACGGGGCCAAATCCGGCGAATAGGGAGGGTGTTCGGTCACCGTAATGGAATTTTTACTCAAAAACTCACGGACAACAAGAGAGGTGTGGGCAGGGGCATTGTCGTGGTGAAGAATCCAACGCCCCTCTCGCGCCAATTCTGGACGAACTCGTGCCACACGAGCTTTGAGGCGTCTGAGCACATCGACGTAGAATTTTCCATCAACTGTCTGGCCTGGAGGGACGAATTCTTGATGGACAATCCCCCGAACATCGAAAAAAACAATCAACATTGTCTTGACATTTGAGCGGGATTTTCTTGATTTTTTTGTTCGTGGTTCCCCGGATGTCTTCCACTCTTTGCTTTGGGATTTTACTGTTCTGAGATCGGCAAAAATTTCACGGCCATTCTTGCCGAGTTTCGAGAGAAACTTGATTACGACGCGCTGCTCTTCAACGGAAGCGGGCTCCATGCCGACGGGGTTTCGTTAAGAGGTAACTTCACAGATGGCGTGACAAGCCAGTTCGCACCGCACGGCGGTCAGACCAGAACTGAAGCATTGTTAGGGACATAAGGAAGGGGTCCTGCGCTTACCTGGCCTCCCCACTCCTCTTTCTCGCATTCCAGAACACTTTTATACGAACTTTCCGGACAGACCTCGTATGTCATCATCGATCAAGGCCACTAGCTGTATCTTTTCTAGATTTTACTGCACTGGATATTTCATCAATTGAGAATGGGTCAGTGAGAAATTTTGGGCATGAATTAACAGAATTAAACTGTTTGTCATCAAAAGATGAGTGTACAAAATCAGGAGTATATTTGCGTAAAAAATCATTGACCCATGATATATCTTTAAAATGATTTTGACGATGTTTTGAATTTAGTTTTCTCATATTTTGCCAAACAGTGGAAATTGGTGTTAATCTATTAAATTTGGAACAAAATTCCTGCCACCCCTGTTGTCTTACTTGCTTAATTACTAACTTTTTAACAGCTTGAACTCTTTTAAAATTTATGTAATTATCGAGAGTTGGATTTTGTTTAAACCTAAGGTAAGCCGCTTTACTATCATTGACAGCTGTCGCACACCTGTTATTCCACCAAGGTACTGCAATATGTTTGTGCCTCTTTGAAGTATTTGCACCGCTATTTGATAAGTTCCTACGTGGAACGGAACGTTCCACAGCTGTCAAAATAATTTTACAGAACCTATTGTAATTGTTTAAGGGTTCATTGACATCATACTCGAAATCCAAAAGTAATTGATTAACAGTTTCAGAATAAAGATCCCAATTAACGAGACGTAGGTTTATACGATTTAACAAAAGTTTATTAACTTCATCTATAGGAGCATGTTGTTCACCTGACGGAGTTGATGAAGAGTTCTTTGTGTTTATTTTAGTAAAATTTGGCAGGTGATAACTTCTATACCATAGTTAAATCAAGGCCATTGGGTCTCCAAATATGAGAGCCAAACAGTAGTAACTTGCTTATCATTTAATAGTACCAAATTACATTCATCTAAACAATCAAGAATGTCTTTACCTCTTGTATTAGTGGAGGTACAACCCCACATAGTATGATGTGCATTTAAATCTCCAGATATGATAGTGGGTTTAGGAAGAGACTCCAAAAAGAACTTAAATTTGGCTTTAGTAAAACTAGGTGTACTATTGATAGGACAGTAAATACTGGCAACTGAATACCAAGAATTATTAACTTCAATACTAATAGCTATAGTTTGCAAAGAATTGTCGAAAAAAGAGTGAAGTTTTTTATATCTAATACTATTATGTATAATAATCGCTACTCCATTGTGGTTATTACCACAATCATTTCGTTCTATACAATAATCTTTAATTTTTAATTTGTAATGTGGTTTTAGCCAAGTTTCTGAGATGAGAGCAATGTGAATATGATGTTCATTTAAAAATTGTGTAAAAATATGTCGATTGCTCAGTAGGCTCTGAGCGTTCCACTGTATGATAGTTAATTGGTCTCGATTGAATTTTGTGAAATAGGTCTATTACCAAAAGTATCATATAACACATTCAAAACACTTTTAGTGTTAATAGATGTGTTCTTTGTGTTAGTAGTGAAATAAGTTTGATTATGCTTTCTATTAAAAGTGATAAACTCTTGTTATCAGAATTTAGAATTGAAATTAGGTCTACATTTTTTTTAGGTTTGTTACCCAGTTTAGGAAATATTTCAGTGCTAAGTATATCTCCAAAAGAAGCAGGTCTGAATTTAGATCTATTTTCAGCAATTTTCTTTTGTTTAACAGGGCATTGCGGTGATACACTTGTGTGATTTCCATTGCAGTGTACACAAATAGCGTTTTCCATTCCAGTTGTACAAGTTTTATAATTATGCTCACCTTTGCAGATGCTGCAACGCTCAGAATTCTTACAGAATTTAGCTAAATGTCCATACCTCAAGCACCGGTAGCATTGTTTAACTGGTGGTATATATGGAGTGACATTGTGGCGCCAACCTCCAATATCCAGATATTCAGGTAATACAGATGCAGCAAAAGTAATTGTCACGGTTAGAGTTGGCTGTAACACATATCCATGAGTCAAGGTATTTTTTCTTAAAATTCTTTTAATAGCAATAATTTTCTTAGAACTCGATATCATAGTATATATTTTTTTATTAGATATATTTGTAGGTACATTTCTAATAACGCCTGTAACTTCTGTTGAAGAAGCAGGAATACTGGCCTTAAAATGGTAGTCATTTAAAAAAGTTTTATTATTTAAAAAAGCATTGGCTAAGTCTGGCTTTTGAAAGTATACTCCGATTTTGAATTTATTTATAGATCTAAGATAAGTTACCCCTTTATTAAATCGTTTTAAACAGGAGGAGAGTGAGAGCAAGTCTCTGGATCCAATGGTTTTCTGACTATCTGAGGATTCTACAAAGACAACAAATTCTGTCCCAGGGGATTCCTCGGGATATCTTCTAATATAATCTGTGACGTAGTAAGGTTTATACTTATCGGCCTTATCAATTTCAGATTCTGAGTCAGTAGAAGTATCTTCCGAATATATATCCTTGTCATTACAAGGTTCATGGTCTACATCACCTGAATCGTCATCTTTTTTTTTCCTTTTTCTACAACTGCGCTTCCCCATGAATGCTAATTATATTACTGTCGCTGAATTTAGTGAAAATATAATATTTTATCCAATAATAAGAATTGATAGAGATAGTTTTAATAAATTAATAAAAAAAATTTAAAAAACCCGCTTGTTCTTATTCGAGTTTCCCGCCTTTTTTCCTTGACGTTATCAAGTGAAGGTTGTCAATGTGAAGTAACAGATATTACTTTTTTTTCCTTTCTTGCAGATAATACTTGTGCAAGTCTTGATTGAATCACGTCAGGATAAATAAAAACATGTATAAAATCTATGCAAGCAGTTCATAGCATTTGAAAAATTAAGATATGAAGTAGACAGGTTTTATATCTATCAATAATTTACCTACCTATTGATATCAAAATTTTTGGCCGAGACATGTTATAAATAGTTGTATAACCGTTATAAGAATATTCTGTCAATATTTATTTCATTAATGTTTTGTTTGTGGATGGATGCATAAAATGATTTTCTTAATATAAGGTCAATAATAAAGTGACGAGTTTTAAATAATATAATTAAGTGATTTGATGTACTTGCTCTTGCTCAGAAGTCAGTCAACTGTCAATCAAGTAGTTTTTCTCTCTAGTTTTGATCGATCCTAATCTGTTATGCTTATTTTCAAACTTAGTTTTAAACAGGCAAAAGAAAATAAACTGTTTTGTTGATTTCACAGTTAGTTTATTCAAAGTAGTTATCTATTTTTTGTAAAAAGTATCAATGGCTAAACCAACGGTCATCCATTGGTTTCGCTTAGATTTACGTATACATGACAATCTTGCACTTCGTAACGCAATAAATGAGGTAATACCCACTGTTTTTACTTTATTAAATTCGCTTTACGATTATTATGTCTCAGAAAACCCATTAATTATTAATTGCTAAAGCGTTAATTACTTACATTACGAAAGTATGGAAGTATAATATTGATAATATAATTCTATTGTTTCTGCTTAATCTAAGAAACAGGAGTAAACGAATATATATTCGTTTACACCTGTTCAGCCAGTCAGTTCAGTCTAGTTTTACTTCTGTAACAGCAGATCCGTTGGTTATGTAAAGCTATATATTGCTAAATAAATACTTTAAATAATAATAATAATTGTAATAATTATTTACATTAAAAATTTTATTTTCATTTACAGGCAGAAAACCGACAACACTTTCTAAGACCTATATATGTCATAGATCCTGACATTAAAAATAAAATTGGAATTAACAGGTTAAGATTTTTGATTCAAAGCTTACAAGATTTAGATTTTAATTTGAAAAAACTTAATTCACGACTTTATGTCATCAAGGGAAAAGCTATAGACATTATACCAAAGTTATTTGATGAATGGCAAGTTAAGTATTTGACCACACAGGTTGATATTGACCCTGAAATCGTAAAACAAGATGAAATAATTGAGAAAATTGCCAATGAGAAAGACATATTTATTGTTAGAAGAGTTCAACACACCATTTATGATGTTCACAGTGTTATAAGGAAGAATAATGGTAATGTTCCTTTGACATATCAAAAGTTTTTATCATTAGTACAAGATTTACAAGTAAAGAGTACAATAGACATATTAAAATCAATTTCTGATCACTGTAAAACTCCAGATAATTGTTGTAATGATTATAATGTACCTAATTTAGAAGATTTTAGTATTGATGAAAACACATTAGATCTTTGCAAGTATCAAGGTGGAGAAACAGTAGGATTAAAAAGGTTGCATATGTACATAGCAAAGAAACAATGGATATGCAAGTTTGAGAAGCCTAATTCCTCTCCAAATAGTATAGAACCTAGTACCACTGTTTTAAGTCCATATATAAGTCATGGATGTTTGTCTTCAAAACTTTTTTACCATAAATTGAAGGAAGTTGAAAATGGTGTACCTCACACTATGCCACCTGTATCATTAATGGGTCAACTAATGTGGAGAGAATTTTACTACACTGCTGGAACTGGAACAGAAAATTTTGATAAAATGGTTGGCAATTCTCTTTGTACGCAAATACCTTGGGTAAAAAATGATGTGCATTTAAAAGCATGGGCAGAAGGTCAAACCGGTTATCCATTTGTTGATGCAATAATGCGTCAATTAAAACAAGAAGGTTGGATACATCATTTGGCAAGACATATGGTTGCTTGCTTTTTAACAAGAGGTGATTTATGGATATCTTGGGAAGATGGAGCAAAAATTTTTCAAGATTATTTGTTAGATTATGATTGGTCCTTGAATGCTGGTAATTGGATGTGGCTTTCAGCTTCAGCTTTTTTCTATAAATATTTTAGAGTCTATAGTCCCGTAGCTTTTGGGAAAAAAACTGATAAAGAAGGCCTGTTTATAAGGAAGTATGTACCAGAACTAAAAAAAATTCCATCTGAGTTTATTTATGAACCATGGAAAGCTCCAAAATCAGTACAGATAACTGCTGGATGTATAATTGGCGAAAACTATCCAAAAAGAATAGTAGATCATGATAAGATCCATAAAGAAAATATGCAGAAAATGTCAGTGGCTTATAAAGTAAACAAAGAGAAGAAATCATTGAAAAGACCAAGGTGAAGGTTTCGATGCTTAATATTATCTCATCATTTTTATAATATATTCATGGTTTTTCATAGTACAGTGAGAGAGAATAAAGAAGTCTAAGGCCTATGATGCATCATTGCAGCTTCCAGTTTTATAGTCCTTGTCTATTTCTATATATATAAAGTTCTTGTGTCACAGTATCAGTTGCCATACTTCTCCGAAATGGCTTAACCGATTTTGATGAAATTTTATATATATACTCGGTAGGTTTGAGAATAGTAGAGAATATCTATCTTTAAACAAACCAACTTTTACATTTAAAATATTAGTAAGGATATAATGAAATGTATTTATAAATAATGTTATGATTTACTTTATATGCTTTAACAATAGGCTTTTTGAGACTGTTTTTTGAACTTTGTGTAACCTTTTTCTAATTTTCGATTGAATACATAAGAAATATATTTTTGGTTTTTAATTTTATAGTTGCTAATCCCATAGTTTAAAAAGTATTTTAAAAACATATTTTAACCAAGGAAATAAGAACAGTTCGATGTTATATCGAATAAATTGCTGTTTTAGGATTACACATGTAATCCTAAAACTACAAACTTTCCGAGTATTATGTTTCATATCAGATGAATTGCTATATTTTTCCTACGAAATTACACTGATTAACATTTGGGATAAAATGGCAATTAATAAATTTATATTATTACTTTTAGTTTCTAAATTACTATACAGTGTCAGCACCAACAAATGTCTGCTAATCGTTTAATAAAAAAAACCGCCAGATTTGATTTTGACTTGCTCACCGAGGATTCTGTACAAATTATAGTGGAAAAAAAGAATTTTTTGCGAAAAATAATTTGTTTTTCGGATTTATCCCTTAAAGCGTATGATATCGCTACTTGCCAATTTTTGCAATTCTAAATTAACAGGAAGCACCTTATAGGCTTTGATTCTCTTTCAAATATTAAAAGATAGGCAATAAACGGCTGCATGTTTTGATTGTGTTAATTTGGAAGTTTTATTTTTTCGCAGTTCAAGGAATTGCAGATTTGCATGTTGTATATTAATTTCAATTGAATATCTTCAAGCATTCCGGTGAAAAAGGGTCCTGACAAATGGTCAGACAACTATAAGACTCATTAGGGGTTCGATTTTTCTTACGGAATACAGAAACATAAAAAAACGTCAAAATCCTATAAGAGGTAGTCATTTGTTACCTATTATCATAGATTAAAGGTAGTGATACCTATTTCTTCTTTTCTTTAATATAATTCGCCCTTTATAACCATTTCTGCCAGCATCATGTATAAAAGGCTCCTAATGGAAATAAAACCCAGTCGGGTCTAATTTTGGACTTATAGGTATAAAAAACATAAAGAATGAGTTTTTATTTGATGGTATAACACAGTGATTCTCTACCTTTTTTTTTGTTGCGGCACATATTTAACGATTTCAAAATTTGGCGGCACACAAAGAAAAAGATAAAAATTATTTACTTACTACAACACACTGCATAAATAGTTTATGACAAAAATTTTAAATATTTGCAAAATTTGGCGGCACACAAAAGTGCTGCGGCACAGTGGTTGAGAATCACTGGTATAACATAAACGCCCTGTAAGTTTTTAATTTGCAGCATTCGATATTCTGAAATTATAATGTATTTTTAGTAAAATTTGTAAAAATTATTTTATAATTCATAATTTTTAATTTAAAAATAATTTTTACAAATGATTTTTAAATACCTGGCATTCTCTTCAACGTCTACTGTAGGTTGGCTGCCTTGTGTGATCTGTCAATCTCCCTAAACGAATGATAATATGAATAAACATAGTTATTTTAAACAACACACTCCTTTATATTAATAAAAGTGAAAAATGATCTATGCAACCATCTAGATACATTAAGGTAATTCAATAAATAAATACATAGGTACATGAAATTCTCAGTTATATTACAACGTACAATTTTTTAGTTTAATGAACTGTGGAAGACCTAATAGAAAAGTCATCTGCATAAATACTTTTGTCCCACTCATGTTTCTGCCATCAAGCAATGGCTGTTTCAATTTGAAGAATGGGATATGGCATTGAAATTATAGTGTACGGAACCATAATATCGCAGTGTTTAAGATAGTAATGCTAAATGATTTTCATGGTGCTGCTTATGGTGTCTGTAGGCAACGTTTACTGCTTTCCCCTATTAGTTCGTTAGCTTGTTTCCAACTTTTTAAATATCATAAAAAAAAAAAGAACTTGTTGCATAGAAATAACAGAGATGGTTTTTTATTCAGAGTAACGTGGTCTGATCAGTTTACCAAATTATCTACACATTTTTAATGAAATAATTTTTTACCTTCTTCGTCTTATTATTAATAATATTTTGTTGAATTAAAATTGAGATGGATCTTAGTGATTATCTTTCAATCTATATCTTCCTAAAATTGAGGAACTTAAAATTTCTAGACCAATTTTTTAATAAAAATGTAGTTTACTAATTGGTTCAAGTTCTCAATATAAATTTTTGGAAGAATAAGAATAAATTATTTAGTTCGACTGGAATTAAAAAGAAGTAAGTGTTGCGGTTGTGCATCATTCCATTACTTATGATAATTTTATAAAATGTAAATAATATTTTGTGTAAAATATAAATAATAATAAATTGTTTATGAAGCTGTAGGTGATTATTTGTTCAGTGACCGTGAACGTATTCCAAATAATGGGAAACGAGCAATTTGTTTCTGATTGATAAACAGCGATTTTGTAGGTGTTGCAATTCCAAATTTAATCTATTTTTCTGTCTGTGATTCTCTAATTCTGTATACCATTTATCATCTTTATCAATGGTTTGTTTGACATATAATATATTTTGAATATTGTATACATACAAAGGAAAGGAATTGTTGATAACAGGGAGTAAGATTCCATTACTTGCTATATATCCACCCTGTCAGGTTGATTTCTATGTAGTTATTTCTGGATATCATTACAGTTAATTCCTGAAGAATTGTAACAAGGGATCAACTGATTTGTTCATCCTCACCTATTATCTCTCACTGGTGACCCATCAGTATGTATTGATAGTGTAGGTGGGGCCATTATTTCATTTTCACCCTTTACTTTGTCCTCGACTCACCAGTGTAAACATGTAGGTAGGGTTACAGTTCCATTATGGGGGAAAGAGATTGTTACTAGCAATATATTGTTTCAGGTCTACTTCATGAGTAATTTTTGTGGAATTTGTCACAGCAGACTTTATCCTCGCTTATCATTTTTTACTGGTGGCCTGCTAGCATATACAAATTTTACACTATCATCGTCCACTAAAAGAAACCATTTTATTATCTAATATATAAAATTCTCGTGTCGCGGTGTTTGTTACCAAACTCCTCCGAAATGGCTTTACCAATTTTTATTAAATTTTATGTGCATATTGGGCAGGTCTGAGAATCGGCCAACATCTATTTTTCATACCCCTCAATGATAAGGGTGACCTACCCCTAAACTTTTTTTTTTAATTTTTTTGACTTATTATTTTTATTTTATTATAATTTAGCATTAAAAATACATACAAATTAAAATTTTCACGCTTTTACAATCAACCTCTGTTTTTTTATCGTGATTTTTATATGCCGCAATAGGCTTGCAAGATGGCAATCGAATATAGTAATTGTAGTAGGATAAATTTTCGTGTATAATTTTCGAAATATATGTATACATATATGGTAAAATAATGTTTGCCAAGTCAACTAGTAACTCATAATATTATAAATGTGAATGGTTGTATGTTTGTTACCCAACATGTTTATACAGCTGAATAGATTGAATGAAATTTGGTACATAGGTAGATTATGTCCTAATTCTATATCCTACTTGTTCCATAATATTCATGTAGATAATGTCTAAGATGATTCATGCATATTTTTCCATATATTTTATAAGTATTTTATGTTTTCAATTTAATAGATTTATGTATATTTCTAGGTTGGTTGTAATGGTGTCACTTATCTTGATTGATAATAATGTGCATGCATAATCTAATCATTCATTCATGATAAATCAATATATCAATCAATATTATTTCCTCAGTCATAGTAACAACTAGAGTTAAAATTATTAATATAAAAGTACATTAGTTTGTTTTAGTTAGAATCCTAATGAAAATATAAACAAATGAAGAATTGATCCAATCAAAACTGCTAATGTGTAGTACAAATAAAAAAAAAATACAATTTGTTACTAATCTTGTTTAAAAAAAATTTTTGAGTTTTTATTTATGCAACTTAGAATGGCAAATAAGCGAATGACCCCTCTGATTAATAGTGGCAACCATCACCTGCAGACATAAACAGTACTAGGAGCATAACAGAGTATATTGTGTCGCCTATGATGTCAGTCATGCTACCATTCCTGAGGACTAATATTTTTTTTAATGATTGATAATGAAATGTTAATCTCATCTGTGCTTACGGTATACACTGGCAGGGCAACATGATAAGTGAGAATGTTAAGCCAGGTCAGTTAGCTCATCCTCATGAATACATCTCGGATTCAGCATGATGGTTTCCAGGGGAACTACATAGAGTTGAATGGAACAGGGGTATATTGCTAGCAATGGGACTGGTAATTTAAATACATACTTTAATAATATAATATTAAAAATTAACTGCGGTACTGGTAGTCTGCATTACTAACAAACTCTTCTTCCCTGAATAATGTGTGTATTAATTGATTGATTACCTACTTACATATGAAGTAATTGTATTGATTATTGCAAATCACAATTGTTCAATGCTCATGTTTCTGTATTTAATGTGTTAATGCTAAGCATATTATTTACATTATTTAAAATAAAATGTTACGTTTTGTAAGTGTAATTATTTAAACATTTACAAGAATAATAATGCATAGTAAGGCCCCCTAAGCAAGGTTAAAGTTTTTCTGTTCAATGCCCTATTGTATTAGTTATAATTAATTAGTATAATTATTCAATCTAGTATTCATACTACATCTAGTGTCAAGTCTACACACTAACTGGTGGATTATTTACCACTTCCTTCTTCTTTAGCTAGTTTTTTTAATTTTTTTTTATAAGTAAACTGATAATGTTTATGCATTGAATAAACATCTTGAGTTAATTCCAAAAAGAAGGAATATCTTATTAATAATTTGTTTATAAAATTGAATAATTTTCACTAAGTCAGAAGTCAATTATAAACAGAAATTGACCATGTATATAAAGTATATAATCCACATAATTGATTTAATATGAAAAGTACAAAAAAAAAATTCAAAGAAAATTGCTTGGTTTTATATATACTATCACTGAATTTTGTATAGTTATGTTTTTGGTGTATACAGAGGTAAAGAGAGAAGAATAGAGAAAATGCCATAGATCTCTAACTTCATACATCTCTGCTCTATCAAAATTCATCAGTTATCATTTACAAGCA